AAAGGACCAAGTATTAGAAATATTTTTTTAATAATGAATAATTTTAATTTTATTTACTATTTTGGCAGATTAGTGCAATAAATTTAGAATTTATGTATGTAGAGTTTCTACAAATAGTACGTGTATTTTTTGGAGCTAATTTTATGTTTAGTAGGCAGACTTATTTTAATTGTCTGTGTGTTAGTGGGAGTTGCTTTCTTGACTTTGTTAGAACGAAAAGTTTTGGGCTATATTCAGATTCGGAAAGGTCCTAATAAAGTTGGGCTTATAGGAATTCCCCAGCCCTTTTGTGATGCAATTAAGTTATTTACTAACGAACAGACTTATCCTTTAATGTCAAATTATATTTGCTATTATTTTTCGCCTATTTTTTCTTTATTTTTATCTTTACTGGTGTGGATGTGTGTTCCCTTATTAGTTAAGCTTTATTCATTTAATTTGGGCCTGTTATTTTTTTTATGTTGTACTAGTTTAGGTGTTTACACAGTTATGATTGCTGGTTGATCTTCTAATTCTAATTACGCGTTATTGGGGGGTCTACGGGCTGTAGCACAAACTATTTCTTATGAAGTTAGTTTGGCTCTTCTTTTATTATCTTTTGTAATTTTAATTGGTAGATATAATTTGTTGGATTTTTATTATTATCAGTCTTATATTTGATTTTTGATTTTTTTATTTCCTCTTGCGTTGGTTTGATTTGCTTCTTGTTTGGCTGCAACTAACCGTACTCCGTTTGATTTTGCTGAGGGGGAATCTGAACTGGTTTCTGACTTTAATGTTGAATATAGAAGAGGTGAATTTGCTTTAATTTTTTTAGCTGAGTATGCTAGAATTTTATTTATGAGAATATTATTTAGTGTAGTATTTTTGGGGGGTGATATTTTTAGATAAGTATTTTATTTTAAGCTTACTTTTATTTCTTTTATGTTTATTTGAGCACGAGGGACTTTGCCGTTATGATAAGTTAATATATTTAGCTTGAAAGTGTTTTTTACCTTTTTCTTTAAATTTTTTAATATTATTTGTGGGGTTTAAGATTTTGTTATTTTCTTTAATTTAGTTAATTTTATATAGTATTTTTAAGTCAATAGAAAAGTTTATTTTCTATCTCATGCTTTCAAAACAAGTGCTTATTCAAGCTCATTGGCTAGTCTAATAATTTATCTCATCATATAGAAATAAATAGTAAATTACTGATAAAATTTTACCGATAATTACATAAAGAGCTTCTACTGTTCGTGCTCCAATTCATGTCAATAGAATTACTGTAATTAATATGAATCAAAATAGAATTTGATTAATAGGGTAGAACTGGATTCCTCGAAATTTTCTGATGTGTGCAAAGGGTAAAATAAATAAAATAGCAATTGATAAGATAAGGCAATTACTCCTCCTAACTTGTTAGGAATTGATCGTAAGATTGCATAGGCAAATAAGAAGTATCATTCAGGTTGAATATGGGCAGGTGTTACCAGCGGATTAGGTGGAGTAAAATTGTCTGGACCTCCTAAAAGATAGGGATTTATTAATGTTAAAATGTTAAAATAGTTAGGGCGGCTAATATAATAATAAATCCTACGATATCCTTGAATGAAAAATGGGATCTTATCTACATTAGAATTTACACCAAGCGGATTATTTGACCCTGTTTGGTGTAAAAATAGTAGGTGGATTATTGTTATTGCTGCTACAATAAATGGTAGAATAAAGTGAAAAGTAAAAAATCGACTAAGGGTTGCATTGTCAACAGCGAGCCCACCTCATACTCATTGAATAAGTATTGTTCCTAAATAGGGGATGGCTGATAATAAGTTTGTAATTACTGTGGCTCCTCCAAATGATATTTGTCCCCATGGCAGAACATATCCTATAAATGCTGTTCCTATTACTAGGAAAAGAAGTAATAGACCTACGGATATAGGTGTGAATATATAAGTAAGACCCATAATATATTCCTCGACCTACGTGAAGGGAAATGCAAATAAAAAAGAAGGATGCTCCGTTTGCGTGCATTGTTCGTAGTAATCAACCGTAATTTACGTCTCGACAAATATGAGCAACTCTATTGAATACTATTGAAATGTCTGCTGTGTAGTGTATAGCTAAGAATAGGCCTGTTAAGATTTGTACAGTTAAACATAATCCTAACAATGACCCGAAAAAAATCAACTAGCAATTTTTAATAAGGGATGCTCAAGTCGAATAGGTTTGTTCATTAATTTATTTGTCGAAGGGGTCAATAGAATACATTTGTAATTTTTATAATAGCAATTAATGTAATTAATAAATAATTTTGTACTTTTGTTATTAAGTTAGTTGGGTAATTGTAGATTTTTGTTAAATTCATTGAATTTTATTTTATAAGTAAGTCTCTGCTGTAAAGTTGGATTATTTCATTATTTTCTGTAAATGAATTTACTAAATTAAAATCTATTATTAATATAATTAAGAAAGTAATAAATCTTAGGCTTGCAATAAATAATACGATTTTTATTGATAGTGAAAATATTTCATTTGAGGCTAGTGATGTTACGTAAATGAATGGAACTAATATTCCTCTTAGCTATAACACCTGTGGCTAATGATACTAAAAGAGTTTGAATAAGCAATATTATTTCTATAGCTAGTGGATGATTTATTTGCAAAAAAGTTATTCTTGAGGCAATAATAAAAAAGTTAATGATAAATTGGAAGATTTCAAGAGGTCAAGACAAGAGGTAGTTTATTCTAAAATATTAATTTTGGGGATTAGTGAAAAAGAATTTCTTTTCTCTTGAAGTTTTAAAAGACAAGGACTTATTTTTGGTTTACAAGACCAATATTTTTATTAAATTATTAAAACTATGACATTAAATTATGTCATAGTTTTAATAATTTAATATCATTAAACTATGATGACATTAAATTTTTATGTATATGTTATTATATTTTTGGTGGGTGTGGTAGTTTTTGTTCTTAATCAAAAGCATTTACTTTCAATATTATTGAGGTCTTGAATTTATTTTTTTAAGCTTGTACTGTTTATTAATATTATTTTTATTAATTTTAGGTATATTATTTTTAACTTTTAGAGTTTGTGAAGGGGCATTAGGTCTTTCTATTTTTGTTTCCATAATTCGTACGCATGGGAATGATTATTTTCAGTCATTTAGAATTTTACAATGTTAAAAATTTTAATAATATTGCCAATACTTATATGTTTGAGATTTATTTCTAATATATTTTGGACGGTGCAAAATTTAATATTTTTTATAATTTTTATTTTTATTATTATAAATTATTTTGGAAATTATTTTATGGGGGTTAGATATTTTTTAGGCTGTGATCTAAATTCTTATGAGAATCTGTTGATAAATATAATAATTATAAGAATTTGTTTATTTTTAATGTTTTGTTACTTTTCAGTTTATTAATTTTAAAATTTTCAACAATAAATTTATTTTTATTCTATTTATTTTTTGAAGGGAGATTAATTCGTACTATATTTTTAGTTCTTGGTTGCGGATATCAGCCTGAACGTTTACAAGCCAGTACTTATTTATTATTTTATACATTGTTGGCTTCTTTACCTATAATGGTAGGTATTTTTTATATTTATAATGATCTTAGAACAACAAATTTTTATATATTAATGAATGTTTTCTATGATTATGATTTACTTTATCTTGTAATAATTATTACTTTTTTAATCAAGATACCCATATTTTTGGTTCATTTGTGATTACCTAAGGCTCGTGTTGAAGCTCCTGTTTCTGGGTCTATAATTTTAGGTGGCATTATGCTGAAGTTGGGAGGTTATGGATTGTTACGTGTTTTTTCTTTTTTAATGTTGAGAGGGTTAAAATATAATTACATTTGAGTTAGAATTAGTCTTATTGGGGGAGTTTTGGTGAGATTAATTTGTTTACGACAAACTGATCTTAAGGCTTTAATTACCTATTCTTCTGTAGCTCATATGGGAATTGTTTTTGGTGGTTTGATAACAATAACTTATTGGGGTTTTTGTAGGTTTTACAAATTAATACTTGCTCATGGGCTTTGTTCTTCTGGTTTATTTTGTTTAGCTAATATTTCTTATGAACGTTTAGGAAGCCGAAGCTTGCTAATTAAAAAGAGTTTATTAAATTTTATACCTAGAATGGCTCTATGATGATTTTAATATTAATATTAATTATTAGCTGTTCCTCCTACATTAAATTTATTGGGGAAAATTAGTTTATTAAATAGTTTGGTTAGATGGTCTTGAGTTACAATGATTATAATGAGATTTTAATAATTTTTTAGAGCTGCTTATGTCTTTATGCATATTCTCAACATGGGAAAATTTATTCCGGTTTATATGCTGTTTCAGGCGGGAATTCTCGTGAGTACTTATTATTGTTTTTGCATTGATTTCCTTTAAATTTATTAATTATAAAGCTTTGGTTATATTTAAATAGTTTAAATAAAATATTGATTTGTGGTGTCAATGTTTTAAAATTTTTACCTTAGATCGTGGAATTTATTTCAATTTGTTTTATTAGATTTATTTTTTTAATTTCTATTAGAATTACTTTTTTTTATGGGTATAAATAATCTTATTAATGATTTGACAGTTTTCATTGAGTGGGAAGTGGTAGTTTTTCTTTAAATTCTAGAAGAATTGACATAACTTTTTTATTTGATTAAATAAGTTTAATTTTTATATCTTTTGTTTTATTAATTTCTTCTTTAGTAATTTACTATAGAAGGGAGTATATATCTGGAGATATTTTTAATAATCGTTTTAATATACTGGTGTTATTGTTTGAACTGTCAATGATACTTTTAATAATTAGACCTAATTTAATTAGAATTTTACTGGGGTGGGATGGTTTAGGCCTTGTTTCTTACTGTTCAGTAATTTATTTTCAAAATGAGAAATCCTATAATGCGGGAATACTAACCGCTTTTTCTAATCGAATTGGGGATGTTGCTCTTTTAATATCAATTGCTTGAATATAAAATTATGGGAGTTGAATATATGTTAGCGGCTATAACTAAGAGAGCTCAAATTCCTTTTCCTTCTTGGCTTCCTGCGGCTATAGCTACTTCTACTCCTGTTTCTGCTTTAGTTCATTCTTCTACTTTGGTAACTGCAGATGTTTATTTATTAATTCGCTTTAATATTCTCCTTCAAGAGACTTGAGCGGATCTGTTTCTTTTACTCGTTTCTGGATGTTTATAGCTGGGTTGGGGGTTAATTTTGAATTTGATTTGAAAAAAACTATTGCCCTTATCTACTCTGAGTCAGTTGGGCTTAATAATAAGTATTCTATCAATAGATTTTTATGATTTAGCTTTTTTTCATCTTTTAACCCATGCTATATTTAAGGCTCTACTGTTTATGTGTGCGGGTGCAATTATTCATAATATAAATAATTTTCAGGACATTCGTTATATGGGGGGGGGTAGCGTATTACATACCTTTTACATCTTCTTGTTTTAATGTTGCTAATTTAGCATTATGCGGCATGCCTTTTTAGCTGGATTTTACTCAAAGGATTTAATTTTAGAAGTTGTGTCTTTATCTTATATTAACTGTTTTAAATTTTTTTAATATTTTTTTTCTACAGGATTAACAGTTTGTTATTCTTTGCGGTTAGCCTATTATTTTATAACGGGAGAACCTCATAGAAGTTCTTTGAATATGCTTAATGATGAGGGGTGAATTATGCTGCGAAGACTAATTGGCTTATTGTTGATGAGAATTGTTGGTGGTAGAATATTGAGATGATTAATTTTTCCTACTCCTTATATAGTGTGTTTGCCTTTTTATTTAAAGTTATTGATTTCAGTAGTTTGTGTAATTGGGGTGTTTGTTGGCACTTATTTTTTATAATTTAAGATGATTTTTGGGTAGTATGTGATTTATACCATATATTTTTACTTATGGTTTAACTGGGTATCCATTATCATTAGGGGGAGTTGTTTATAAGAGAATAGACCAAGGCTGATCAGAATATTTTGGGGCACAGCATTTTATATTTTAATCTTGTATCTTATTCTTGGATTGGTACAAAATAACAATTTAAAAGTTTATTTGATGTTGTTTGTATTCTGGGTAATTTTTTTTGTTTCTATAATAATTTTTATTTATTTAGGTAGTTTAATTTAGAGAATAGCACTGAAGATGCTAGGGTGATAGCTTTATCTTTGAATATTAGTTAACTTATATTAGCAATTTATAAAAGATAAAACTTTATTTTTGCAATGAAACTGTAATGTTTTTGTTAAACTATATAAATAGAAGTATAAATGGAATTTAAAGATTAAAATAGAAAGTTAGCAGATTTTATTTGAACATCATACTTCTTTAACTGGGAATTAGTTTCCATTTATATTATTAACAGTGATATGCCGCTATTTTGGCTTCAATTAACTTAGAATAAGGAAGAAGACATCTAAGATTAGGTCAAAACTAATTGCAATTTATCGCTTCATATTCGTTGTTAAGGTAGATTGAATAATCAATACTTTTTGAATGCAAATCAAATGTTAAAGTTAACTACAACCCTAGTTAGATCAGTTTATTGATGTGGTAATAAATCATACACTAATATTAGAATAATTTATAATTATAATGATGGGGAGAATTAAATTAATTTCTACATCAAAAATTAAAAAAATAATAGCAATTAAAAAAATTGAAGGGAGAACGGGAGAAGATTTAGGGTCAAATCCACATTCAAATAGAGAGCATTTTTCTCGGTCAGCAATAGGTTTTTTGACAAAATTGAAGCGATATTTATTACTACGATTGAAATAATAATAATGATTAGTCCTTATGATTGGAGGTCATATATACTAATTATACTATATAGATAGTTTATCCTCCTCATCAATAAATTGATACATAAAGGTATTGTTGATATTGTTTGATAAATCAAACAATATCAAGAAAGTGTCAGTATCAGGCTGCTGCCTCGATCCCAAAATGATGGGTTCTAGAAAAATTGTTGTTTAAATGACGTAATAAACATACTGTTAAAAAATGTAGTTCCAATAAGGACGTGAAGCCCGTGGAACCCAGTTGCTATAAAAAATGTAGACCCATAAACAGAATCCGCAATAGTGAATGGGGCTTCAATATATTCGTATCCCTGAAGAATTCCTAGTGAAATTGTGAAGAATAATCCTTGAGTTGCTTGTGAGTGGTTTCCTTCCATTAAGCTATGATGAGCTCGTGTAACTGTTACTCCTGAGGCTAAAAGAATAGTTGTATTTAGTAAAGGAACTTGAAATGGGTTAAAAGGTACAATTCCAACAGGTGATCAAGTTGCTCCTAATTCAATAGCTGGCGACAATCTTCTTTGAAAAAATGCTCAGAAAAATGAAACGAAGAAAAATACTTCTGAGATAATAAATAAAATTGTTCCTCACCGTAACCCAATAGTTACTGGAAATGAGTTTAGCTCTTAAAAGGTGTCTTCACGGGAAATATCTCGTCGTCATTGATATATAGTAAGAATAGTAATTACTGTCCCTAATATTACTAAAGGGATTAAATTGATGGAATCATTTAACTAAGCCTAAAACTATAGTTATAGCTCCAATTGCTCCTGTAAGAGGTCATGGGCTATAGTCAACTAGGTGAAATGGGTGATTAGAGTGTGCTAACATTTATTTATAAAAATAAATTGGTTTAGTTAATACATAAGATTGAACAATTGCTACTGCTGATTTTAAAACTAATAAAGCGATTTGAGCAATAACTAAAAAAGGAGCTATAATAACTGAAAGAGCAGGCCCTGTATTTCCTATAAGGGTTAATAATAAGTGGTCTGCAATTATATTTGCAGTTAATCGAACGGCTAGTGTGCCTGGTCAAACTTCATTTCTAATAGTTTCAATGCATACTATAAAAGGTATCAGTACAGCTAGAGTTCCTTGAGGGACTAAGTGAGCAAATATATATTGAGTGTGATTAATTCAATCATATAACATAAATCTTAGTCACAGGGGTAGAGCAAGAGCTAAACATAAAGCTATATGGCTAGTTCTGGTGAAAATATAAGGAAATAATCCTATAAAATTATTAAAAACAATTATTGAAACTAGGGAAATGAAAATGAATGTGCTCCCTTTATGACCTGTTGGGCCTAAGAGGGTTTTAAATTCCTTGTGTAAAGTTAATAAAACTGAATTTCAAATAATGTGGAATCGAGAGGATTAAAAATGAAGATTTTTTAATAATTTTTGGAAAAACTGTAAAAAGAAAAATATAAAGTGTTACTTGCCGCAAAAAAAAATTCTCATTTAAAACAAATTAACAATACGGCAAAGTTGATGATATTTGGTAATTATGAAAGTCAAGTATCAAGATATTTATCAAACATAAACAGATATTAAGTCTGTCTGGTATAAGAAAGTTTTTAAAATCTCTTAAAACTTTATAAAGTTTTTGTATGCAAATAATATTCTGAAATAATATTTTTGGAACAAAAATGAAAGAAAATAATGACGTTCTCATTTTCTCAATGCTTTAAGTTTTTTTAAGTTTTGTAAAGTAAAACTTAGTGTTTTAAAAACGTTTAAAATGTTACATCCGTCGAAACATATATTTTTCTTGGTTATGGCAGCAGGTTTTATTTTTGAAAAAATTTTTCATCAACAATAACTTTTTTTTCAAAACTTTTGAATTTAAAAAAAAAAAAATGGATTCGTAAATGGTTTTTTCTAAGTTTCCGACCTTTATAACACAAAATCAAAATTCTGGTATAACCAAAAAATATTTGTCCATGTTTGATAAATTCTTTGAAATTTGACGTTTATCACATATTGATAAAGTTTTTAAGAGTTTGTTTTTTTTAAATGAGAATTTTCTTTTTGCGAGAAATGTCCTCATTGTTTCTCTTTTTAAAGTTTTTTCAAGTTTTATAGGTCAGACAGACCTATTATTAAATAAACAAATTATTAAATGATGTCAATAACGTGACTCTGATTAAAATTTTTGAGAAAATAAACTGAAGAAAGTTTATGTTTACTTAAATAGTTCGAGTTTAGTATCGCGAGGAATGAAAAACTATTGGGCCCAAAATGCATGTAAAAGTAAAAATTAATCTTCCTGAAGCATTACTTGAGCGGCTCGTGGATTCAGCGATTGATTCAAAATGGATTAATTTCTGAGATGACGATATAGCAAAAGTCAACAAAATATTAAATAAATAATTTTTTCAACAAAATATTAAAAGTAAAATAAACGTGCATGAAAAAATAGTATATAATATTACAACACAGAAGATACATGGAAACAGACGATACCGCCAGTAAAAATATGAGTATAACCGCAGCGGTGAAATTAGCGGGGTTATTCCATATGTGTATTTTATTTATATTCTAACATTTGGGCGCGGAAAACCGCTCTTGTTTGACTTTTGACTTCAATGGACCAATCCTGCGCATTTGAACAAAAAATTAAAATATTTGATAACATTTTCGCAAACCCCCATTAGACCTTGTACATGAGGTGCAAAATAGAAATAGGCCCATCTTGTACCTTTTCAATACCGATATGCGTGCAGTAAAAATATGCACATGTCCAGGATCTTTGAGTAAAATTCACAAAATTTTGTTATGCGGGATATTGCTGAAAAGCAATTCGAAATCTGCAATTTTCTTCCACAATTTCTTTCCTTAGACAATTGACAAATTGACAATTGACAAATTTGCTGAAACGCGAATTTTTTAAAAATATGTAGCCCTATTGGACAACGAGCTTATCTAGCATATACCTAATAGCTCAATAAAATTTTAATGAACCTCAATCTAGTTCAACTTGTCGAAGTAGAGGGACAAATATTGGTACGTCTTGAATTTCAAATTCCAAGTGGACTGATCGCACTGAATCCTATCGGGGTATATCGGGGTATATTCCAGTTGTCATTCTAATGTGACATATTTGGTAGTGAAGCGATATTTATTGTAGAAAAGTATTAAGCAAGTGACAAGCAAAATTAATACAAAAAAATTTAAGTTTAAACAAAAAAATTTAATGAAGTTTCAAGAAATAATAAATATCCTAATGTAATATATGTATATTAATTCAACTATAATTGAATTTTTCATTTTTAGTATAAAAATTACAACAAGAAAATCATTTAAAGAAACTGGAAATTTCATGAAAGAGACGCTTTCTAAAAGCCCTAAAATTTGCAGAAAATGACTGCTTGAGTAATTGCGAATTTGAAAATAAGCAGAACCAGCTCACAAAAGAGCTGTCCCTATTCCTTATATACATTCATATCCATAATTTATTTGTTTTTTCAATTTAGTTGCTATTGGAATCTGATAAATCCATAAAACAAATTGAAAAAAATGAATGAGTTTCAAACGGTGTGACAACCACGACGACAAATGTCACATAAGTGAAGTGACAATCAGAGTAAGTCTTTAATATTATATACCAATTTCAAAGTATTGCCGTTACAATAGTCTAATATCAAGTGTAAAAGTTTTAAAGTTATAAGTTGAGAATAGGCGATTTATCAATTTAAAATAGGCGATGTATCAATTTTAACGAAGACTAATAATAACTCTTTTACTTGTTTTGATTCTTTCTATATACCACAATAAACTTCACATTCAGGCTTAATCTACTAACGCAAATAAAAATGTGGGTTGACAGGTGACGGATTTGCTATTCTATCAGACTCCCGGTGATTGCGTCCATAACGTTATTCTACTAGAAATGCAAGATATGTATGTATGTATAATTAGATATTTTAATAACAGTAAGTATTAGATATTTTAATAACAACAATTTCAAATGTTAGTCGAGTTAATAGAAAATTCAGTTTCTTCATTTTCTTCATTTAGTGATCATCACCCAAAAACCAAAAAAAGCTCTTGAACACCTTTCTTTGTTTAATTTACTATTTGTTATTTATACTTTAGTCAGTCACTTGTTTATTTAAAAAACAAACATGTAATTCTTAACCATAAAGAACAATTCAAGTCACTTTTTCACTCACCCTGCATTTACAGATTACAGCTTTTGCAAATGTTTAATTTTAAATTTTTTCTCGAAATATTTTCTTTTTAATTAATTTTTATTTTTGAATTTTGCACTTTATAAGTAAAGAAAGTGCACGTTGTCTTATATTACTTATTATTTTATTTAAATTTCGAAGATCAATTTTCAAAAGTGAGTCTCGAATAATATTGATATAATGTTATTTGACACTAATTGTAACCATTTGGAATTATTTCTCTCTAATAGAATGCTTCTATTTTACATATGCATTCGCTAAGTATGTGTATGCTAAGACCCTTTCCTATTAATTTTTATTCCTAGTATTTTTTTTTATATACTTACTTACAAACACAAATATTCGGGCAGCAATTTTGTTGTATTTTTTTCGTCGAAAAATGAGAGTAAATTAGTAATAATAATTTAGTCGAGTCTAGTTAAAAGTCTGACATTTCACCAAACGGGGTTGTGATTATAAGAATATAGTCAAATGTTTAGTCACTTAATATTGAAAATACATAGGAATATTATAAGATTAAAAAAGTAAACATTTCAGTCGGTATAAACGGAGGAAATTAAACCCTGCATCTTGACAATCTAAGTTTAAAAATTTGTTTTCAAAATATTTAAAATTAGTTTTCATTTTTGTATGCCAATTACTCGAATCTGTCAAACTAATCTATAGAATCTTTACAGATGTGTCTGACCTATAAGTGAACACACAACTGCCAAATTTCATGAATCTAGCTTTATTATTTTTTCTACTATATTAATTTATATTATTTAATATAATTTTATATTAAATAAGCATTTGGAGTTGTATGGCAGCAACCCGAACCAGTGCAGCCATTGCATTAAAACTTTTAGAACTTTTTCCCATTTTTGTTACAATAAAATTTTCTTATTTTATTGCAGCAAAACTTTAGGCATACAAATATCTGACTTGCAATTGAACACATGACTGTCAAGTTTCATGAATCTAGTTTATTATTTTTTCTACTATATTATATAAGCATTTGGAGTTGTATGGCAGCTACCCGAACCAATGCAGCCATTCTATTAAAATTTTCAGAACATATGTGAAGTGTAATTAGACATATCTTTGCAAAATTTGATATTAATATCTCTATTTGTTTTTCAAACATTTAACAAAAATCCATTGAGTTGTATGCCAACTACCCAATCCGTTGTCCGAATCGGTGCAATTACAAGAGCGGCCGTCCTTGGCAAAAAACCAACAGCTTGTGAAAGCTTGATGTTGATTGTATATTCATTTTGAGTTATGGTGCAATCGGACGAACGGACGGATATATCTAAATCAGCGCAGAACTTTACGCTGAGCAAGAATATTTATACATTTCCATACTGAAGACGACTCCTTGAAGTGGTTACAAATTGCATACCAAAGTTAGTATACCCTTCACGAAAGTGCAAGATAAAATAAGGCTTTTTAATTGTAGAAAAAAGTTTGAAATTGATGCAAATTTTAGCAGACTTCCTGTCATATAAAATTCAGTATAATAAGTGTTTTTTTTTTTGCTAAAAACATGCAAGTATCTATATTTGTTTGGATATGTACATTTAGGTAAATATGTATATATTTAAAGTTGTTTTGACAAATAATATTTAATAATATATTTATATGAAAATAAAAGTTGACAGTACTTAAAACGTAATTATTATGAACAAAAATATTAATAACGTAGCTTAATAAATGACTTTAATGTTTATTCTAAAATTTTGAAATTTTTTATACTGATCAATAAGTTTATTAGTAGAATATACATATACTTTTCCCATAATAAGTGTTGACATTTTTTTGTGAATAACAATAAATATGCAAGTAAACTGGAAAAAACAACTGCACAACTAAAAAGAATACGAAAAACAGGGCTGGATTTGAATTTCGTTTTCTTTTTGCTGTACTTTCCTTACAATTGACTTCAAATTGCCCTAAATATTATACATACATACATGTAAATGTTATTTTTTTTGTTCATAATCTTAAATGTTTGTAGTTTATTGTGCAATTATATACATATATATTTATAATTTATAACATGAATATGCAATAAATTAAAAATACGTACGAATATTCTTTCTAAGACAAAAGTGGAACATTTACAATGGTTAGAAATTAATTGTTCAACATTTATATTAAGGTTTTAATTTTTTTTTTAATTTTCCTCGTTTTTCGAACTCACAGGTTTTGCGTTCGGAAAATCTTTTAAGTCATTTTTTTCTGATTTTTTCTTTGCTCGTGTGCTGAATTCATCTTCTTCTTTGACGGCCTCTTTATCTAAATCTCTTTTTTCATTTTGATTTGCTGGCAGAGCTTTCAAAATAGCATGAACCTCCTCAGCTACGGCCATTAAAACAAACTCAAATTGCTGTCGTGTAGCAACCAAACCGGCTCTTTGGTCGCGTAAATGTTCTAATGTAGCTGCAATATCGATTTCACGTGCGCCTTTGTTCATACGGCCTAAAACTAAATCAAGAAGAACGTACGCACCAGTTCGACCAGCCCCGTTACTGTCATGCACGACTATGGGACATGACCTACCACGATAAGATTTGTTCACTTTCCTGCGAATTTTAAAATTTAATTAAACTCTGACCAAAAAACAAAAGAAGTATTTAACTTAATTTACCTTCTGAATTCTAGCAGAGCTTTAGTTTGTGGCGGGACTCCTCCCTGTGGCCATGATAAGAAGTGAAATTGTGTAACTGTTCTGGTTTCACTAGTTCGAAGATTTTTTAAGTAAAACGAGCGTACCAAATAATCATCGCACCAAATATGCTCACTTACAAGGTGAACCTGTAAGACAATTTTTTTGTATGTTTTCATTATAAGAAAATGTTAAATATTTACTTCATATATATGATAAACTTCGGCACCTTCCTCGGGCCAATATCGTGCGCATACTTGTTCATGGTTTTCCTGTAGTCTGCATAAAGCCACAATAACAACTGCTCCTTGCTCCCAAATCATTTGCCAAAAATGAGCTAATGTTGAGGGCAATGGTCCTTGAGCCGCAACATAAGCTGGCGCTCGCGGGTCGTGATCAGTCTAAAATTGGCAAAAACATATAAGATGTATAAAAAATGCATTCAAAATGAAATAGTCGTTACAATAGTCGAAGCGTTTATGTAATCTAGTCCTTCAGCATTGGCTAAATGATTTAATACAACTCTAGAATGGTCATACGGTAGAGGAGCATTTGGTCTATTTAAAGTTGCACACTCTTTTTGTAAAGCAGCCTCACGAGCACTCGGTTCCGCTTCATAACGGCATAGAGCTTCCCATTCACGTTGTAAACGTCCTTTATTTCGTAAATGATCTTCCATATACGACTTTAAAAGTTTAAAAAAATGTTCAATTGTGTAAAGTTTGATTCATGTTTTTACCAAAACCATGTGTCCTGTAGAAATATCCATGTTAGTAAGGGCTGGTTCTTCACTCCATGAGGATGTACTTGATCTTGATGACGGAGGACGTTCATTGTCTTTTGCTAAAGTAGATATACGACCACTGCTACTTGGCATATCTTGAGCTTGTCCTTTTGTCGCCATTCTTGCACGACATAGTTCCTGAATAAAATATGTTATTGCTTGAATAGTATTTTATTTACTTGTCTGTTTAAATAGGAAAATATTTAAACCGTTTTCGGGAAAATTACTGGAACGATTATGTTAGCACCAAATTTAAGGAACATTTGCACTTTGAAACCGTCTTATAATTAAATCTTCATACAGCAAAAATTCATAAAGATAAAGAATCATAATTGTGACAGAAAAAAAAGGTACAAACAATTTATGTTATGATTTACCTTCTAAGATATTTCAAATTTATTATAATACATTCAAAAAAAATTGTTCATGTGAGGCAGGGAGATGAGCAGTATTTGAACGTTTAGTTAAGGGAATCTCATTGAAAAAACTCTATTGGATAAACTTCTATTTCAGAATCGAAACTGTTGAAGTTAGAGAAATGCTCGCATTTTTTTATTCAATTTATAACCGTAAATTTAAAAAATTTTAGGTTGCAAAATTAGAGTTTATGAAAAAAGCTGGGAGATGAACTTTTATGAGTTTGATTTTGAAGTGCTGCATCTGCCTGGTCTCATGGAAATGAAGACAATGAATATTGGAAATTAATTTATAATTATTTAAATTATTTATGATAATTTCCAAATAGGGAGTGGTGTACGTTATAAATTTTTTGAAGGAGATTACTTACGAGTGGTTTCTAAACTTTGACATCAACCTTTTGAGGTTATTACCATTCCCTGCTAAGAACTACAAGTATTTATTTGTCGTAGCATTGATATATGTACCTAGTGATTAACAATAACTACTGAAATAATTCACAAGTTGCAAAGAGGTCTTTGGTCATCCATTTCGAGTAATCACTGACAACCTTTTACCTCGAAGTCATTTGAAGAATATTGTTCAGTTAACAATGTTCTTAGGTCGCTGGAAATCCGTTGGTGGACCTCTGCATATCTGCTTTATGATTTCCAGGAGGTGTTGGCATCCCTCGTAATAACCTTCATCATTACAAGGGATGCCAACACACGTCACGTGATCTGGGAAGCTCAGATACCAATGCAAGAGGTAAGTCATTTCTTAAATTTATCTTATGTACTAATCTCACACTGTGTAGTAGGGGTTCAGAGCCTACTTTTTTACTAAAAGTCGACAAGAGGTTATAGATATAACCTTTGCCTCGTAAATTGTTGTCGGCTTTGTCAAGAATTGGAAAGTGTCACAAGAACATTCCTTTTTTGACCCTTGCTATATAGATTTTGAATTCGTAGCTAAGCAAATACTACCTTGACTTTTAGAAACCACAGGCGGATTGACTGGTCAAAGTTCGGAGACTCTCTATGCGATAATCTGGGAACCGGGATCCTTTCGCATTCTAGGACATCTGAGGACGTTGATAGTATGGTGTGCGCGCTTACCACAAGTAGCGTCTTCGCGGGAGCGTGTCTTCTACCTCGTGTAAGAGGCAAACAGTGGTGATCCGAAGGACTAAAACAAATGAGAACGCAATTCAAGAAGTCAAAGTTCACCGGGGCGCCATCTGATTGGTGTGCTTATAAGGCGGAACTTCACGGGGATCAAGAAAAAGTTTAGGAAGGTTCAGAGGACCTCGTGCAAAGATTTTTGTGATAAGATTGGAGATACTGCAGAGTCTCGAGATTTAGAAAGATCTTGGCAAGCGAACAAGTTGCCTGCTAGCTTCAGGTGATTGCTGGATCAATTCCGCTTCGGAGTCTTTAGAGTTGCCGCTGGCTGCATACTTTCCTGAAGTTCGCAAGGAATATTGCTAGGGTGATCTTCCTTCCCAAGACTGTATACATAAGGTGATAGACGTATACATAAGGAGGAGCTTTAACCCGAGGTTGATATCTCTGGCTCAATATGCGTATCGTAATAGGACGTCAACGGAAACAGCCCTCTACTCTTTGATACACTATATTGAAAGGCCTCTAGACTGCGGAGAGCGCACAATGGCTGACTTCTTAGATATTGAAGGGGCCTTCAATGATGTCTAGCCACGAGTTATCACTCACGTGCTGCCGGAGCTCTCGATTCATGGCTCGCTGAGTATGCTTATAGGAAACATGCTATCAGGTAGAACCATCTCACCTACCTTTGGGGTGCATACAATGAGTGTTTCGGAAGGAGGTTTGCTTCCTCCTCTTCTCTGGAGGTAATCAATCGATTACTGTTATGCCTGGAGGAGGAGAACTATAGGGTCGTGGCCTATGCTGGCGACTTGATGACAGTAGCTCTATCTGGAAAGCATAAATGTTAACTTAATGGAAATTTCTTAATGCAACTGCAGAACAGATGGGTGATGGGTTCAAAGGAACGAGTTAAAGGCAGAACAAGTAATTAAAAAATTTTTCTTCTACAACTGGACTCGAACCAGTGACCTACCGCTTTCTAGGCGGACGCTCTACCAATTGAGCTACAGAGGTATGAAGAAATTGCCGACGAAATGTTCTTTACATTGCTTTACACTATAATCCACATGATTACTAAGTATTTGTTTACATTGACTGCTACATACAATCTACTATTGAAACAAACAATCACAAGAACATATATATAGGTATTGTGCCTATTACACTAATTATATTATGAATTTATTAATACAACATCATAGTTGTGAAATTAATATGAAATGTGCTTAATATACTTATAATTTTAACTTAATGCAAATTTCTCATGTAACTGCAGTTAAAATTATTAAATTTATTTAAATTATTAAGTTAAAATTATATAATTCATAATACCTTCATGTCTTAAATGGGCTAACGTAGAGGGCTTTAAATCTAGTCTCTGACTGGGCTTTTGGCTGTGGCCTGACTATTAACGTACAAAAGACGGAGTTAGTTATTTTCAGCAGGAAATTCAAGGTACAAAGCATAGCTCCATCGCAATTTAACGGAGTCTGCTTTACCTTTAGCAAAGAGGTCAGTTTTCTGGGTCTAATACTTGATTTAAAACTGAAGTGGAAGTAACAAAGTTAATCTAAAACTCAAGTGGAAGTATCGGGAAGTGGTGGGACCTCAGACCTAACATGGTTTATTGGCTATATACCGCATAGTGTGACCGGTCCCGATGTACGATGCTTTGGTATGGTGGCCAACTTCCGCACAGCTGTTAGCTTTAGGTTGGTGATGGTGTGATCGGTGGGTGTTGTACTCCACCCCTACCTAGGCTTTTAAGATTTTCTTCCATCTGCCGTCATTAGCTATATTGGGCCCGCAGATGCTTACCGTACTTCGATTTCGCCAAGGCAAAACTGGCTAAACGAAGGGGATTTCGGCAGCGGATCAGTACATTTTTCACGGACGGATAAAAACTTCATAACAAGGCTATGAAGTCTATTATGAGTAATTGAATTCTGAATTCTCCTTCCATTTATGGGATCACTACAGTGTCTTTCAGGTAGACGTGGTCGCGATTCTGGTGACTCTGTATTGGTTTGACGAGTCAAGCGCATTGTAACGGAGCGGGGATCCTGTGGCCAAAGCTAGAGTGGCGTCGCATAAGGAGCTTGATATCTCTTCGATGGAGGGATATCGATGCTATTATAGGAAGTCTGACGAGCCATTGTCTGATTGGCGAATACGCAAGGAGCATGGACTTGCCTGCAAAGATCTCCATGGGAGCTTCTCCACCGAGGGGACATTAATGCTCTTAAATATAAGCCCATTAGAATAAGTAAGTATTAATAAAAACCATTTGAAATTATATTCGAGTCTGAAATGTCAAATTCAGAGGACATGTCAAATGTATCTAAATAAGTTAGGATTGAATAGCATCAAACTGAAAGAAAAGAAATGAGGCTAAAAGCGAAGCAACAAATTCTTGGTGTACAAGAAGAAAACGTAAAACATTACAGCAAAGGACATAAAAGAGCGCACTCAATTCAGAGTCAGCATGAAACTAAATTTTTGGGGCCTGCAAGTTAACAAAGATTAATAAAAGTGATGGATATGAGGCTATGAAAGTAGGCAATCATGAAAATATAACGACTGCTTCAGATTTTATGAAGTTATAGGTACTAAACGAGATATCCGACGAATCACGTAGTGATGACCGAATTTCCAATTTACTTGACGTGTTCACATGTCTTCGTCTCAAAATGACTGCAACCTTATAATTGTTTTGCTTTCTTATTAATATTTTTCAAATGTCAAATCATTCTATTCAAAGTAGAATCAAGTCTAAATCGTAACACAAATATTTGTAGGACTTTTTGTCAGAACGTGATATCTACATTTTTGCTATTTTGAGTAATATGTGATTGAATTTTTTTGTGTTATTTTTGTTTTCTAAAACAATAAAATTAGTGAAAATCTACTAAAGATAGTTTAAATAGTATGTAGTATTAAAACTTACATATTTTTCTACAAAAAATGAGATATACATTTTTTCTAATTGCAACTGATATCAATCAAAACTGAGTAAGCCTTTTATTTAGTTTTGAAAGATTTAAAACGTTTGCTTCACTTACGTAAATATAATCAATATAAATAATTATATATGAAATGTAGAAATGAATATGTATATGCAGAAGTTTCATTCGTAACTGGAAACGAAACGGGAAAGAAATAGAATACATTTTCATATCAAAAGTGTGTTACAAGACATATCTATATTTTAATGCCTTCTTAGAAAATTTTTATGATCCTGAGAATTGGTTAGTTGTAATAGTTTTACAACAATCAAGACTAACTAACTAGGTAACTAACCTGCCGTAGTTGTTTTCATTATATATTATTTATATTATTATTTCAGGTTGTTGATTTTTTCTTAGTTATCTTAGTTTTAGAAGAACTTGTATACTATTTTTTCATTTTATAAGTATAGTATATTAAGCTATAACAATATCAAATACAATTCATTTTTGGTGCCATAAACGGGGCTTGAACACAGGATCCTTCGTGGGCCGTAGCTCTTGCACCAATAGTCGGTTGACCATGAAAAGTAAGCAACCTTATACTACTAGCCGCGTAGCATCTAAAAATCACTATTCTACTAGCTTCGCGCGTGAGAATAGACAGCAACACTAGACATCACTAGTATAGCCAACAGAAAAAGCGCTGCTCTTATTAGTATTAGTATTATTATTATCATTATTATTATTATTATTACTATTATTATTATTACTATTAT